TCAGATTTATACCCCACCCTCCCCCATAGAGCTCAGGGCGGCTTACAGGGCAAGATATACAACAACAGTACAAAAATAACAATATATCTGCATTTTAAAAACATTTTATACCATTAAAAAAACCGTCCTATATCACATAAAGTGCTCGGTGATAACTAACTTCAAAAGGGACAGTTTCTAACAGTTCTTGGGAGACAGTCCATAGTGTCACGATGTTCCAAAGATCTTCTCAGGGCCTTTCTCTGGGCCTCTTCCAATCCCCCCCAAGATGGTAACACAATGGGGGAGGCAGCGGCCCCTACCCGAAAGCCTGGTGGAAGAGCTCCGTCTTGCAGGCCCTGCAGAACTCCATCAAATCCCGCAGGGCCCGGATCTCCCCCGGGAGCTCATTCCACCAGGTAGGGGCCGCTACCGAAAAAGCCCTGGCCCTTGTGGCGGCCAATTTTGCATCCCTGGGGCCCGGAATAGTTAGCAGGTTTTGGGCCCCAAACCGTAGTGCTCTTGGGGGGACATACATCTACTATGCTAGATCTTACAATCTGTTGTTAGATTCCTTGTGGCTTCCCAGTTTGTGTGTGGCATCTCTCTCATGATAAAACTTACTGTGAAGCCTTTGCTTAGTACTTCTCTGGGATATCTCTCTAAATCTCTCACCCATGAGCTAGATCACAAGGGAGCTCCATTTCGCAGGGCTTCTTCCCAGTTACTTCGTTGTCTAGTACTGCGCGTGAAGGATACTTTCTCAGCGATATTCCGGTCTACATAAATAGAAATCCCCGGGCTTAAGAGGGGAATATCTTTGCACAGAGATGCACCTCCCTGGTCTGACACTCTCAGCCTCTGCAGCGCACCCTGGCTCAGTCCTGAATTGGGAGAGATGAGGGGTCATCACTGCTGTGGGGGGCGTTGCTCATGATGTCCTGATTTTGTTCCAGGATCTGATATCCGAGTGCTGGAACGTGAGGAGAGGATCGTTTGCAGAAGGGAGCTGAGCGAGTGGCCGTTGGTGATCAACTTCTAGAAGGATCTGAAGGGATTTGTTTTCGGGGGGGGCCTGAAATTCACCTGGGGACACAAAGTCATTTGAATGATCTTGTGGAGGGAAAACCCTGAACTAGCCTTGGTTCAGGAGGCAAGTGCTGGAAGTTTAGTGTCGGGTGAGAGATTCTTCAGGCGTAAAAGGACACAGGGGGACCAAGACTGTGGAAACAACTCCCGTCAGGGCACTGACTTGTCGAGAACCTGCAAATGGAGGAAAAAACATACCTTTGTTCTTACTGCGGGCAAACATTTCAAGGGACTTCAACCTTCATGGTGCACGAGAGGACTCATATAGGAGAGCGAAGATACAAGTGCTCACAGTGTGGGAGAACGTATCCTTGTCATTCTGACCTCCTCATACACCAGAAGAGCCACGCGGGAGAGAAGCCCCATGGACGTGCTTTGGGTGGTGGCAGACGCTCCTGTCGGAGTGCCCCCCTGCCCCCGCACCGAGGAGCCCGCCTGGCAGAGAAGGTAAGCCAGTGCTGTGAGTGTGGGGAAGGAGAGCCCTGCTGGGTCAGACCAGTGAGGGTCCATCGAGTCCAGCCTCCCGTCTAGCACAGTGGCCAGCCAGGTCCTCTGGAGGGCCAACAAGGGGGGCATAGAGGCCGAGGCCTTTCCCTGAGGCTGCCTCCTGGCTTTGGGATTCAGGGGCTTGGTGCCCCCCCCCTCCCACAAGGACGTTTTGCCCATGGGAGATCCCGGGCTCAGCCCCACGCAGCAGCTCCAGTTATAAGTCCCTGGAGGTGCTTCCCCAGTCAGAGCGGACCTTCGTGAGGTATAGGAAGGGTCTGACTGGGGAGGGGGGGAGGCGGCTGCGGAGGGTGTCTCTTGAACACCGGGAGTTTCACTCAGTATGGGGCACATCATGGCTCTGGACGTCTCCCGGCCGGAGTCCACCTTGCAGAGCCGCCATTTTCTGAAGGGGAACGGATCCTGGCCATCTGGAGGTCGATTGCAATGTGGGGGGAGATCTCCAGGTGCCCCCTGGTGGTGGGCATCCCTAGCCCCTCGGCCTGTGTGGGCCTCACTGCAAAGACCCCTGAGAGGGGGGGGTTTGCACGCACAGGGAACGGAGTGGGGTGGGGAACGTGGCCCGAAAGGGGTTTGTCTCCAGGGGGCCTGATGACGCTTCCTCCTTCTCTCCCCAGTTTGGCTCTGAGAGCGGCGAAGAGGATGAGGGGCCGGGGGTCTCCACCCAGGAAGCCCCAACTCAGGCCCTCCCGCAGCAGGACCCCCGGGTGAGTCTGGCGGGGGAGGGGAGGAGGGGAACCCCGGGGGGGCTGGAGTCCCCCCACTCATTCTGCCTCCCCCACCAAGTCAGTGGCTTTGATTCCCCAAAGAAGTGAGCCGTGACTCACAGAAGCTTCCACCTCGCCACCAATTTGGTTAGTCTTGAGGGGGCTCCTGGACTCTGGCTCTCTCCCTTGCCTAGAACGTGTGCCGGCAGTATCCTTTGGTTGACACGGCTGTGATGCAGAATAGTTTTCCTAGGCTTTTTCTGGTCTTTGTAAAGTTTTTTTTTAAGCTACAGTAATTGCAAACCAAAAAAAAAGCATAAACACGATCTGTAAAGTAGAAACAGAAACGTAGCGCTGGAAGGGACCTCAGGGGTCATCTAGTCCAACCCCCTGCACAACGCGGGAAATTCACACCTACCTCCCCCCCACTCACTCCCCAGTGATCCTTGCTGTGTGCCCAGAGGAAGGCAAAAGACCTTCAGGATCTC